GAAAAATCTTTATTTTTATAAGAACAATTTGCTTTAACTTTTTTTAATATAGTTTTCAATAAATACAATTATCTTCTATCATGTTAAAAACTATTCGATTTTTATCGAGATTCTAACTATTTATAAATAAGAGAATCTAGCTTTGAAGAACAATTTCATCGTTTCACATTTGAGTTATCGTAGTTATCGCCTATTATTTTGGCTGCTCTTCGGATTTACAAAGCTTCATCCAGATCGGAATCGAACAGTTTGCGACTCTTTCTTGTCAGCGAAACAAAAGCTATCTCGTTATCATCGAATACCTATCAGTTGTTTTCACGAAGTCCTATTCTAGTGCGGCACAAGAGTAAACAACGAGGAAGAACAACATTGTCGACCGGCTTATGAATACCACAATACCAATTCGGATTTCCATTATCAGTCGCAGTTGCGGCAGTTGTCATCGTCGAAGCCAAAACTGTTTCAATTCGCGCAAGCGCTATTTGCCACACTCCACCTTCATTTCAAACATCGTATTCAAATGAGCGGTGGATTATAATGGAAATGCAATCACAAATTCTGCCTCTTCTGGTAGTTCAACGACAGCTGTTTTTACCTGCAGCGGCCGTATCTTTCTTCCCTTTTCGTTTGTTTCCGTAAACATAATTCTCTACTTTCTACTGAAATTGCCAGAATTACATAAAAATAGAATTCGTTTATGAACCTTGAATAATCAGTGCGAAAGGAAAGAATGGGTATTGTTATATGCTGCGAATACTGTATACCTGTGCTTTCAACCCTACAAAAATATAACAATTAAAAGTGTGTGTAATGTCTAACAAATGTGAACAAAGACGAAGTTGTTTAATGCAGTATTTTTAGCTATAAATTCAAGGACATTAATAATAATAACAAGAAAAATATAAGATTGGTGAACCTTAAGTTATGCATCTTGATATTTGATGCACAAATCATGTCCGTATTACAGACGATTGTGTTTGATTCATGAGTGTATTTATATCACTAACATTTATCATTTACAGAGTGCAGTTGAAAATATAAGTGAGGTAAAGACAGTTCGTTACATAAAAATAAGCAAACATGTGCGCTAATATTTTTTCATCCAAAGTTGACAATTAGTTTTCAGAAAAATTAATTTTGAAAATCTACCGCATACATGCACAGAGAATTTACGGAACGATCTGCATGAGTTTTGAGGTACATAGTACAGCAACCTTACGAAAAAAGTTGCGAACCAAAAATAATGTGAACTAAAATTACTGCATTTCAATTTTCTTTACTCTTAGTTATTATTTAAATATGTTTACGTATTATAACGTATAATAATAATTAATACTATCTTGTCTGGACAAATTCGTAGAATAATGCAAAACTGTCACTGTTATAGTACAAAACAGGTTTTAAAGTTGAAAATTAACATTTCCCTTTCAATCGATTTTCTAAAAATACATTATTTTTATATATGTATTTGTATATTTTTATATATATGTATGTATTTTTTATAAATTTATAAGAAAAATCTGTTAAATATTAGAAGTAAAATACAGCTAAAATGTATTGCGCAGCGTAATCATTAGAAACAGTTCAATTTCGATTATAAATACAACTGAAAGAAATTTGTTTGAGTTAAACTGTTTAAACCAATTGCACAACTGAAAAAAACGTTAAATTTGTGCATAGCTTTCATTGTTATGGCTCTCGATTATAAATAATGCCCGTTTACATGTGATTTCAACTTTCTGCAAATAATGCAATTCGCTTTAACAAGTGGTCAATGACACTGATACTGTTATGTCTCGCAAGCTGTTTCACTATTCAAATGTGCTTTATTCATATCTTCATGACCATTCTGCCAAAGGAACAGAGTTCTCCATATTTGACCACGCTATAGATTTCCTCCGACTTCGGACCAGTTGACGGAGCTTGTCTCCATTCAGAGCTACGATTATAGGTTTCTCCCCTTTGCTCACCCGGTTAACCCAATCGTCCGCCGTACAGTATTCCGTGATCGCAATCAGATGAGGAAACGCTAAATTGACCAGTGCGAGATAGACGGTCAAATTAACCCTCTCTGACGAAGTTTTTGGAGCTTGCAAACAATTAATTTTTCTATTATTTCTCAAATCTGCAAGGTGATTTCAATCTGCAAACATGCTTCAGTTACGCGAGGAAGGTCCTGTTATTATCTTGAGGCAAAAAATGAATTCAAACTGTAAAGATACATATTCACATCTTCTTTAAACATTTTCAAAGAGATTTTCATTATTTAGGAGTTACGTGTCACAAAGGATTAGTAGCTAAAACTCATCTAAGCATGCTCGCTACCGTCTTATACTCTCCCATGAGTTTCTATGGGAGTCTGTAAGCATTTTATTCGCTCCACTATATTTCAACGATCAGTTATACAGAGAATCTGTCGAAACCAAGGCGTCAGGATTGCTCAACCGAGCATCCCCTTGCCTTTCTATCCACAAATGACAAGTCGGACTATCCGGAGAGTCTTCCAGAAGACGCAGTTCTTACATTCTGAGCCAATCCTAAAGCTAAATAGTCACGGGGACAAGAGAAATAAGCCGCACGCTCCATCTTGGTTCTTCTAGAATCCGTAATAACTGAGCCTTCGGGTTCCTTATCTTCTCAAACATAGTGTCAGTGTATTTCCGAGATTCTCGTGATTAAAGTGAGTCTAAACACGATGGAAATCGTACTAGTTGTGCCGACTGAATGTAATTAACGAAATTAAAGGTTCATTTCCCCCAAATTGATAAAACTAGACCGATTTATATCGTGTTTGGATTTATTTTAATGAGAAGAATCTCGACATTGCATCGGTACCACGACTGAGAAAGTAAGGTTAAAATTATTGCAATTGAAATTTTCTTTATTGCGCGTTTATATTTAACGCGAGCGATATCGCTTTAAAATCCCGCGCCTCGACCCACGATGCTTAACTGACTGTGTCTATCCCGTTCTGCTCATTGTATTCATTTTCTGTCCCTATCTATTGGGATCACGTTACAGCGAATAGTGGTGAAATAGTAGGGATAATGCAATGGAATTTAGCCGAGCAGATTTTGTGAAATTTAAGTGAGCATTACTGTATTGTCCTTCAGTTTGTGGTGGATAGGCCTGGAAGCAATGTGACCTATAGCAATGTGTCCTAATGCTACAAGTACAAATCGACGTGCAACGTTAGTTTCGTAAGAATCCGTTACATTTAACTGATTCGTGAGGTTGAAGAACAAAACTATTTTACGAACATCAAAACCCGTTACTTTTCTCAATGAGAGAGCGTTCAGATTACTATGTGCAGTATCGAACCGTAACGTAACCGACGAGAATAAGAGATGCAAACTTTCATTTGTAACGCAAAACAGTCTATTCTACATCTTAGAAAAGTCTTTAGGCGAAACGACGCGACGGCAGTGATGCGAGTAGTGGTGCTAACTGATGGCAGAAGTTGGCCAGAGGGCCAGCCCGTTGGTAGGGTCAATATGAGAAGTGGAGACACTCGAGAGGTCAGGAAGAGCAAAGAGCCGACTTGCCCTCCACTCCGGTCTATGCGACCCTCCTCGTTTGTCTACCTCAGGCGTCAGGCGACCTAGTTGTGCTCCATTGTACCTATACTGGCGATGCTTGAAATCCCCTGTGTACCTGACGTAAGAGGATTCCCAGTACCTGAAAATCACCATGTCGCCGCAATCACGACCTTATTACCCTTTTAAATCTCATGCATTTGACCGATCTGCACATTGGAAAGAGACTCTTGTTCCTTTCAGTTGCATTAAAATGGAATCGTTCGAGTTACGATTGATTCCAAATTAAACGATCAGAACATACTAACGTATTCCATGTATAAGAATTTGGAAACTATGTTATTTATTGATGTTAATTATTTAAACCTTTGGGAATCTCTGTAACACCTTTTCTCCAAGAGAAAATCGAGAAAAAATGGAAAAAAGGAATAGATTGCACTAACTGCCTGTTAGCATCATTTTTAGTTTTACAAAGGGAAAATAGTCAGTTTTCAATATCGAAATTTAACGTACGCCGATGTCGTGTAAACTCACAAGTTTCAATTGTGCCAATTATATTCCATCAAAATGGTGGAGAAGGTAACAACTAAAACTTTTGATTTCGCATTCTCAACATTTTCTGTGATTACACTAAATAGTGAATTTTTTAAAAAATGTTTAACTCTTTTTTTATAATTAACAAGACAAAATATGTAATATAAACCTACAATGCAGCTCTCACGTCTAGACTGAGCTCCGACAAACTAAAAGGGCATAGGGGCAAGGGGAATCAGCCGCACGTTTTACCTCGGTTCTTCCAAGAAACAGAGTAGTCAAGTTTCGATGTCTCTGTGATTCAGGACGATCAACCTATCAATATGATAGGCCGTCGCCACGCTGAATCGAAATCGGACACTAATGTTGGAATTTTTGTATTGTACATTTCACTTCATCGTATTTCGTTTCATTTGCGTTTTTTGTTGTGCGACTCGGCCAATAACAAGGACGTATCGAAATTGAGCCGTCATAACTACTCGGCCAAGCACCACGAATGGACGTCTCCACTTGCCCCTGTGCACTTTTAGCACGACGGTTGCCGCTATAGACGTGGGAGCTGCACTGTACCATTTACTTCGATGTCTAAATACTAATAGAAACTATTAGAAGTATACATTACGTCCAAAAAACGGCTTTAATTTGAACACAATTCGTTAAACATGAGTCTAATTTTTCATCCAAGTCATCCAAGTCATCCAAGTCGGTGAGGAATTAGTGTTTTAAATGATTACCAAATATAATTTTATAACACTGATAAATAAATAACTATTTTTCATACTTTATATCGTTATTTGATATGAGAAATTTGATAAAGTTATTATTTATTTTCCGGGAACAAATAAACAGAAATTCCTTTATTGTACAAAAATAAAAATACTATTGCCTTTGTTTGTCCTACTAAAGTGAAATTATATTTTTTTGTTTCAGGAATTTCTGCTAGCTATTGACGTAACGTCTAGCGGAACACCAGAAGAAAAACTGAAATGGGCTTTCCGCATGTATGATGTTGACGGAAATGGTGTTATTGACATACAAGAAATGACAAAAATTGTGCAGGTATTAAATTATAATTTATAGTTATGCATTAATAGAAATAAAAATATGTATAAAGAATAGTAACTTTGTATTCATGTACATACACTTTGCTTTTTAAGTAATATATAATTTCATACGCTAACATTTCTGCAAGTTGATTACCTTTGGAAATGAGTTTAATATAAGCAAATAATAAACGAAAGTTTTGTGAACCAAAACAAATAATAAACGAAAGTTTTGCAAACTAAAAACACTCTAAATTGTTAAAAAGGGGTGGTGGAATTTCATCTAACAACTGTAAAGAACGATTTTTTTCCTTTCTATAAAAACATGATCTTCCAATTTTTTTATTGCATTCAAGAAAATGAAAAAATTAAAAGTTTATATAATAGTACAGTAAAAAGAGTCAAAATTAACGCGTTGAATGTCATACCGAAAGTTTATAGTGACCCCAACCAAATCGAATTATTATAATTCACTGAATTAAGCGATGATTATTCAAAAACATTACTATGTTTACATTATTATAAATTACGCTAGCCAATACTACCAATTCAATTAAATAATTTGATGTTATGTTTTTTCATTTTGTATATTCTGCTCTGTGAACACATGTAGCATTTAACGTATTAAGAAAAGTAAATATGTTGGGTATATATATTGAAAAACGAATAAGTATTTGATTCAGAAAGATGAGAGAACAAATTTGAAAAAGTTTATAACCAATTTAACTAGCAAAATCAACAAATTTAAAGTGTAAGTAGCTTGGAACATCATATGCATTTTCTCGAAGCAGTATTTCTTAAATTTGCGAATGCGATAAGTAGACAACTAACTTCAATTGATCAATTAATTTCAAGTAAAGGTTATTTTATTCGTTAAACGTTAAACTTTTGGAAAAAAATTTATTTTCAAGATACTAAAATATAATGGAAAATACAGCAAACTCCACATAATTTAACGAAAACGTCAATTATCCATAACTGTATTGTCCAACAAATTTTAACTTTTGTTTTGTGTTTTAAAACTGAATTTAAATCATTTTTTCAACATGTACATATTTTAGCAAATATAATTTTGAAAAGAAAATTAAATTTTTAAATTAAGAAATTAGTCGTGCGTTAAAAGTTATTCAACTGTTTTTTGTAGGAAATGATTCTATAAATTCTATCAAATTCAGTAATAAATATTTGTTTAACAATATGCACATTTAAACATGCTTAAACCATTTTTAAAGCGGACAAAGGTCTTTTCATATTGATATTTATGAAAGCTGTCCGATAAGTTGGTGCAAAAATAAAGAAAACGCAAGTACGTAGATTCTTTTGGTTTATTTTAAAAACTAAGAATTTGACACAAAATTTAACTTTGTTACACGACAAAGGAAATTCTGCTTGTATAGGTACTATGAAAGGAAGTAGTGATATGGATTTTGTTTTTAATCAAAAAAATTAACTGCTACGGGCTACGTCGTCAGTGACCGTTAATATCAAACATCACTTCTTATGCCAGCGAAAATATTGTATTCCCCCGATTGAAAACAGCATCTTATCAGTTTTTATTCATAATCTCTGTGTGGACAGAGTCTACTTTGTCGTATAGGGTATTTAAATTTTTTTCCAAATTCTTTTATTTTCAAAATAAACGGTAAAATATCCGCAAAAATTGATGTATAACACATATTTTATTCATCCTGAAGATTTTTGTTTTCATTTTTTTTTTATTTTTAGTGTTTAAACATTCATAATTTTTGAAAATACATATTTTTCATTCCTTTTATTTACGCATGTATAAGTTTTATAATTAACGTACAAATGGTATTTGTAGTTGAAAACTTGATTCTCAAAATTGTGTCTGAAAACTAAATTTCTATAAATCATTATGTAATGAAGGATAACGGTTTTTAAATTTGTATTCAAATGAAAAGGAGTTAAATCCATTCAAAATATGTATATCCCACACATAAATACAAACTATAAATTTCGTTACCTTTTTTTTAAATTGATGCTTCGTTTCTTAGCTATTAACAGTGGTAAATTGAAAACCGAACATCGTAAATATTCAACTAACAATGAATGTTGATATCAAAGTAACGAAATTGACAAATTTTATTTTTATATTATTATTTATAATCTTGTGTAAATTTTACTTTTTCGCCGGAAAAACTAAACCTTCTTGCATTAATGTAGTTTAATTCATTTAAAAATAACTGTATAAATAATTCCATTGCAGAATGTATTGCTTAATTATGAGTTCACCACGATTTTACTTATGTTTTAAATATAATTCTATAATGTGTTTAATCGACATTGAGAGCTGGTATATTACAATTGAAATAAGGTAAATAAACAAGCATCATTGCTTTACACATTTACATCAGCATCAGAATATAGTTTTTACAATAAGAATAGAGAAGAAATAACTTTTGAGAATTTGTTTTTATTGTAACTTGTAGTCAGCCAAAAACTAATTAGCTTTAATTTATAACGTGTTCTTGTACAGTGACTGAGACTGTCCAAAAGATCCTGGCGAATGATAAATGATAGGGTCCTGAATCTGATCCAGCATTCGACTGATTAGAGTTTGACCTTCTGCAGTACGTTCTTATTCCTAAGATCGTGTATAATCATATAGTAACAATGTTTATGGTTTCCAATCTGTGCAAACATTTTCTTATGTTTAAAATTGCCTTTTGTTGTTTTTTTGTTGATTGAAAAAATTGTTCAAATATTTACTGATTTTGTGAAAAATAAGTTAAAAGTATTTATAATTGAATTTAAAATTTTAATATTGAAATGTTTATTTTATAAATATTTTATAACGAACGTTAGCTACATCAAAAATTTAATTATAATAATTCACTGATCATTTATTCTTCATATAGTATTTATCGTGTCCTCTGTTACATATAAAATTTCCATATATTAAATTATTTCTTTTTCAGTTGTTTTATGTATATGTTTGAAATTTTAATTCTCCTACATTAATTGTCCCAATAATATATACGTTTATTAAGACTTTACCTCTCTGTTAGTTTAGGTTATCAACTCATTTAAAATTGATCTTGAAAATAAAAATATACTCTGCTTTTTTACAGAATTTAACATCATCTGAGTTTTTAAATCAACAAACAGAACATTTAATTAATAATATATTATTTAGAACGGTTATACAATAATATTGACTTGCAGTATAGACCTACATTATTCACGTGACTATAATCTGTGCTCGTACATGGTACAATCATTAATACTGAGAGTACAATACATAGTTTAGATGAACTAAAGTTGGCGTACTTGAAAGCGGTGATTAATACTGTCTCGAAGGGATATCAAGATTAGTTAAGAGCTGATTAAAGCTCTCACTATAGGACACTAGGGATTTGTTACAGTCATCTTGATAAATTAAAAGATATTGAGGGGTCCAGAGCAAAAGGAAACTATCGCGTAAAATCTTAAAAAATGAGATATTTGTTTACTGTGATACCTCTTGGAGTTATTTTCCCCGATTTATAATTATATGACAAAATTTTAGCTTGTATCTTTTCTCGTGTATATTAATAGTTACTTTATAAGTTTTGTGCAAGAATGAGTTATGCCACACATTATTTTTGCCTAATGTCCGATATTAGCTGCAAAACTGAAAGATATAACTTCATTGTCTTTCATATCGTCTATGTACCGTGATTTCTACAAAAATCAAATATGTACCACAAAAATGGAATGGCAAAAAAGAACATATGTAAAAATGAAATTTACAAAATTTGTTTCCATGTAGCTTTTTAAATTTCCTTTCAAACACTCACAACTTAAATTTCTACATTTAAGAAACTTTTGCCAAATACTTAGTCATAATGTTAATAAGCGTAAATAAACAAATAGCAGTCTTAATTATGGAATCTCTATCGAAACACAATTTCTTGTAACAGCCTTAACCCATCGCAGTCAAATCCGACTGTAACAACAACTTGGAACTTTCATATTTAAAATCGAAAGCTCCCAATGAATTGGATTATTCATTGGATTAGTAATAAGAAATTAATATGTAGTTCTCTCTTTTCTATTTAAGATTTCGGTACGAAAATTCAGTTTTTCATAGAAAGATTTTTAAGAAGTTCAAAAAGTTCGTCCGCAAAGAGTTACCTCAAAACGTTACTATTGTGACATACATCTCTCACTTGGATATAGTTATCCCGATGGGATCTAAGGAATTGCTTAAATATATTCCGGCGTTGTTGGAACTACAACATTCCCACGATTAGTACCCGAAAATTGATACTACAACTGGGCACTAATCGTGCAGTGATATTGATTCCAAGTCGGAATAAAATCTAAATCGAGCTCCTCTGTTTGTCCTTTGTCAAAAAGGATGGTGCGAATGAAAGAACAGGAGATCCAAATTTCGGAACGATCAGAACAAACAAATGAATTAGGGAACATAAATGTAATGTTAACATTTTCTATTTTTCACTTTTATTAACCAAAACTTTTATCCACTGAATCGTGAGATTTTTCTTATTAAAACGAAACCAAACGCGTTATATTTTGGAACATATTTACTTCTTTAATAAATTACAGTAATTTATTTTCTTCCAGTAAATTGTGATTTAAAGTATGTCGTGTTTGATCTTGTTTTAATAAGAAAAATCTCACAAATGCGTCAATGAAAGTTTCACTCACAAAAAAACCCTTATAAAAGAGTTTTTTATCATTGCACTAATTTGTCTCACCGATACCTACCACCACTAAATAACGTATATCACAATTGCTCGGCCGTTGAGCTTGATGGCTCGCTGAAGAGTCTCACCTCTCAGTAGTGGGGATGACTCAGTTGATCCTGGTGGATTACTGTAATACTCAGTAATGCGCAGTGGTATTTACTAATTCTGCAGATCGGACCGGGTACCAATGGTGAGAATGCTGTATCAAGCTACATCTACAGCCCGTCTCTTATATTAGCCAAGCCAACCGTAGGTTTAAAAGTGCAGAGGGGCAAGGGGACTCTTCCACTCACAACGCTCGGCTTTCGTCGCATGATCATTATTGACACGCGCTGAGGTCCGAGCGTCGTGAGTGGAAGAGTCCCCTTACCCCTCTCCATTTTTAAACTTGGTTAACTTGGCAAGCATAAGAGGCGGACTTTGTAATGATTGTACTTCCTTGTCGTAGCGTGTTTCTACACCTTTAGTTTGATGGTTGATGTGTTGTCACAATACACAGGAGGAATATTCCCGAAAAAAAGGATGGGATCTTGTCCGGATCTAGAGGAAAACCACAGTTGCTTAGGTTTGGTGTTTTATTGAGTTACACGATGGAGAGTTCAAGTTGTGAAAACGTGGTAGTAACGTGGTAGTAAAGAAAGAATTTGATAGTAAAGAGGGGGAAACATTTGGGCCTTGATGATTCAGGTTGGGAGTAGGAGTGACTAAAAATCTGGACCTCGGACTGCCAGCTATAGTTACACTTAGTCAGATGTACAAAATGTTTACGAAGTGGTTAGGTTTACAAGTTAACTCAATTATAATGCTAACGAGGCATTTTGGTATGCATAATTATTGTTTTTAGACAGGGCTGATGATGACCATGTTTTCAGGTGACGCAGGCATGGTATGATGTCATGATGGATATGATCAATGATATCAATAATAATAGTAGTAATAATAATAGTTATTATGAATGCATAGGGTGTTTAGTGGGGTAGGATTGTAACACTGGACTCTGAGATAAAGAAGCTGCCACAAAATTATTTTTAACCGTAAAAGAAAGGGTTAAATTTTTTTATTGAATCACCGTATTCTACTCATCGCGGAGGCAAATAATCTCAAAGGAACCATGGCTCAAAAATAAATAGCTTTCTTGCAAATCGCTGTTGAACTTTACGTGAGAGAGTGAAGGAACGCGATATTGATTGTCTTTTTCTGATACACTCCGTCCTTAAGGAAAATGGGATCGATATTGTTTATCAATCGGCTGTCACCGTGGCGAATGGTATGGTCGTTCTCTGCTGGGCAACGACGCTCAATCGTCATCAAACCGAAGGTGTAGAATCACGCTACGACAAGAGAATACAATCATTTCTTTCCATCCGATACATAATTAACTGTTTGCAATATACATGGTGTTTCTAAATTATTGCGCATAAGTGATAGAGTATATACAACTCACTAAACTGAGTAAAAAACTCCAGTGAACACAGGTCCAAAACTCAATAGATTTTTAACCGTCATCGAGATATCAGCATCCAAAATTGCAGGTTTGTCGGTAGTGATGGTACTCAACGAACAATGCAACTGTCATGCGAGAATAAACGAACGCAATATCCAGGGTCCTTATTCGTTACACGATGGATTTCCGGTCTAAAAATATAAATGACATCGTTTATCGATCGAGTTGTGGATTCACAGCTGAGAACACGGTCATCGCACTCACTACTTTCCTTAGCGCTCCCATGCGTTCTTATGGAAGGCTAGAGATATTTCACTCGCTCCACCGCATTTCAATGCTGAGTTATACGAAGAATCTGTCAAAACCGAGGCGTCACGGTTGTTCAACCGATCATCCTCTTGCCTCTCTGCCCACAAATGTCGCGACAAACTGTCCATTGAGTACCATCACTACTGACGAATCGGTAACTTCGAATGCTGATATCTTGATAACGACATACGCTAAAAATTTAATTTTTATTAAATATTAATTTATTAAATATTATAACGATTTCAAAAATATTCTATTTAAAAATTGTGATGTTACCTTTGTAGAACGTTTCAAGGTCACATTACGGTCAAATACCTTCCGTCGTGATATGTAGTATTTCATAGCCTGTAACTTTTGTTTCACACATTTGTTCATATCACTGATATTTTTTGAGATAATTCGGTGTTCTTATTCGATGCCGGTACATTTTTTTTAAGTTAGGAATTAAAGAATCGTGTGTTGGAATATATTTTACAGAAGGTTTGTAAAATCGATATCTGTAAACGAAATTCTTTTGCTACTGATATTTTTGAGTATAAAGTTAAAATTTTCCAAGTTACGCATGTTGGTATTTTGGTCCCTCATAATAAAAGGTAACGTAAACTCCGAAAAATCCATTATTATAATAAGATTATTTCATTTTTTGCTTTTGTTACGTTCTAGAGGTGTATTTTGTTACAATCAATATTCAATAAACCAACATTATACGTACTAATCTAATTATGAGCACATAGTGATTGCATGTTGTGGGAAAAAGAAATATGGTAAAATTTTTGTGTATACGTAAAGAAGTATGCTTTATTCGTTTACTTTTAATTTTAAAATGCTACTAAAGGTCATATAAGTATTATTTTTATATATAGTAGCGTTTTAAAATTAAAAGAATTTTATTAGCTTTTAGTAGCATTAAAACATATCTTCGTAATACATTTTACATTCAATTAAATCTGTTCCTTTTACTTTCACATTTTGTCGCAAGTAACCTTATTAGTTTATCTACATTTTACGCAACAATTTATATTACGAATAAAAATAATTTATGTTGCGAATCTATTTTTAAAATGAAAAATAAAACTGAGGGACCAAATTATTATCTTTTCCTCCATTACACCAAAGATCTATTTTTCTATGATTTTATTCAAATACAACGGTGCACTTTCATTTTTGCAATAAATCAATTCTTTTTACCGTTCTGCGAACAAAAGTATTACAGCAGGTTGTTTGAAAAATGATATGTCGCAATGTATTTCAATGTTTTAAATATAACAATATGTCTTGTTGAAAGAATTTTCTAATGAAAAATTGATCTTTCTACGCTATAATATGTATTTATCATTTATTTCATAACTTTCTTCGTAGTTTTAAAACAAGAAAATGTATCTGCTGAAAAGAACACACTTCTTTATATTACAATTCAATGAATTAATCTTCTATCTGATAATCATATTTAATTTTCTGTTTCCAGGCAATATACGACATGCTTGGAGCATGTTCTAGTAACAGGCCAGTGGACAGTGCAGAAGATAGGGCTAAAACTATCTTCGCGCAGATGGACGAAAACAATGACGGTCAGCTTACCCAAGAAGAATTCTTAAAGGGTTGCCTCCAGGACGAGGAACTTTCCAAGATGCTAGCTCCCTAATTTCAACACTTTCGGACCAGTCATTTCCATGATGTCCCATCGTCCAAAGATATTCATGAAGTACCAAACAATTGAGCAACATCCTCGAAAAGAATTTGAAATACATCTACACCTTGAATGCGAATGACTCTTAGTAGGAGGTTCTACGAAGGAACGGCAGTTATCGGTGTGGTTCGACGAGAATTTGTCCGAACGCACAATTCCCAGACACAGTCGACAAAAGTGACGACCAAACTTGTTCCCTTATTAAAGGCTGATCTTGAGTTGAATCACCGAATTACGTAACCTTCCGAAGGATTCGTTCGAGAATCATTTTACGGATTTAGATTCGACCGTCATCGACGCGGTACAAAAGTCATGTACACTCTGGAGACGTAGCACGCGAACCGAAGGACCGTAGGTCGACGGCTTGTACGAGGGACACCGATGCAAGTAAAACACACAGCCGAGAAACGGTGCCCTGGACACTTCGAGCACCGAGGAAATCAACATCAACGATCAACCCTTTAGTTACACTAGTTACGTTAGCACATCGGCATCAAATAAAAGAGTTCGATGAAATCGCATCGGTATCGTTAACCGGTGCTGCTATGACAACTATCGTAAAATTGATGTTTATGGTAAACGTAATTACTAGACGTAATTCGACGGGATTTTTCAATGTTTCGAGATCGAACAACGAAGGCATTTTCGCTCGTTTCGAACTTGAACGACAACGACGAAGTACTAGAATGTCTTGTGGATAATGATAACACAACGAATTGCGAGGTGGTAATGCCAATAAGTGGAGACTCATCAGTATCGTAGAAACTTCCGTCGTTGCGTACGTTTGTCTTATGATTATTTTAAAAGCGGACGCATTGGTGTTTAGGTTCGTGTTTATTGGAAATACAGAAAACACTGTTCACAGTTCCCATAAATGTTACCGTTATGCTTGCGTGTTTGATTTTCCGATCGTGCACAAGCAAGAGTCTTTTTTACATAACACAGAAAGCCACATTATACTGACTACGATCAATTTATATATATATATATAGACCTGTTACATTATAAATGTTATGAATTATAGAATACCATATATATCATGTTACATATGCACACGCATAAGTACATACATATACATGTGTGTGTATGTAACATTATGTTGTAAGGGTCATAAAAAATCATTTTGCAATGTGCATCAGATTCAATATTTCAAGCGCAGGTCCATTACAAAAGAAAAGGAGTCCAGTAAAGTATTACAAGTACGAATATGATTTGGATAGAGTGATCATGTACATGATAGAGTGAAAACTAAAAGGTAACTTAATTCGTAGCTTAGTGTTAGATCGTGATCAGTAACACGTGACCTGTTTGCAAAAGAAATCATTCTATAAATTACATAATTCGCAACTAATAAATTGGTTTACAATAAAGGGACTTATTGGAATCGATTGTCAAATAATTGAATTCTACGCATAGCGGTTTCCGCTACAGCTTACTGGCACACCTACAGAGTTTTACTATTCCCTTATTCTTAGGAAGGTGTCGCTAGTTTTATTTACATCTAATATCTCGTTCGACTAATCTACATGTTCGTTCGGTTATGTAGAAAGGAATAACCTTACTATTAACATAAGTAGCTTATTTGTAGTTGGTTTATGACGGACGTAAACCCGAATGAAATGTTTAGTACTTGACTTAAAGGTGTCTGTCCACGAAAGTGTACAATGCATTTGCTTCTTCTTAAGACTAAGTAGTAAAGAAAGCAAAAGAAGTATTCTGAATTTCTCTTCTGTCACTTTATTTTGTACTTGATTCCGTTGTCCTCTTTCAGTTGGGTCTCTAATATGAATTTTTCCCTTCGAATTGTTAAATATTTTCTAAGCTGTTTTTATTTTATAAATCAATCAATCGTTTTCCTTTTCCTTTTCGTTGAGGATTTTAATGCTGTTGAACATTCGAAAAGGAAGTCAGAGACCAGTATCTACTAGCAATAATATTCGACCAAACGTGTATTACTATTAGGTCGATATAGTAGGAATGTAATTTCTTCTCTTAAGCAAAGAGTGTCGTTAAAGTACTTAAAATTTATGAATTTATAAATTTCTTCTAGAATATACTCTCATTAAGACATTCTCAAGAGGTTTATAGCGCTAATATTGATCGTCGAACAAGAAGTGGCTATTTACTTACGTACCGATATGCACGCCGTGCAATCGAAGTACTCGGAAAAAACGATTGCACTAATCACGTAGTTCTAAAGGTATATTAAAATGTGTGCATAACTTCAGGAGTCAATTATTCAGATGTAATACGGGAAAGGTTCGTATAAACGTGTGTACTATTTGACTTTGTTTCCGCTTTACTATCATTCTTGTATTTTCATTGTTTTCGTTGCAACTAAGCTATAGTAATGATCGACCAATCAGAATGCTACTTACAATTTGTAACGTGTGAAAAATTCAAGAAGAAAGCGTTGTCATATTCCGAGTTTATCTTGAAGACAAACATTTACGAAAATAGCACGCCAGCTCAGTTTCTACAATAATCTCTGAAATACAAGTGTGTCTGTAACTCGGAAACAAACGAGGGTCACTTTCTATGTGCTTAATTCATGCCTGAAATTAAGACCACATGTTTCGGTAGATCCTGTATATTAGGCTAGATACATATCATTGCCTCCTCTTGAAAAGTAAATCGAAGCAATAACTTCCACTTCCCCTTTTTTCACTTCTTACTTGCTTCGATCAAACTTTCCACTATTTCAGTCAATTTTAAACGAGAAAGTATCCTATTGATTCACACAATATTTCGCATAGCGCGCGCTTCTTCTCGCGCTGGTACACATGTCTTAAATGTATTATAATAAGAAATGTATATATACTATTGGATATAATGTATAGGAGAAACAAGACCTACGTACGTGTATATTTTTTCGCTACAGTTTTGTAAATCGATCATGTTTGCTGTTTTAAAAACATCGTCATGGTGTTGGTTTCCCTTTTGAATTATGCCGCAAAAGAACTTCGCAGGAAGTAAAACCAGAAGAATACGTTATTTCCTTTTCGTTTGCTCGGATCACTGGTAGACCAATGATAACCCGCGCACAACAACATCGCGAAGGTAGAACAGAGAAATACAAACATCTTGGCGCTGTTCTTCAGTTGTATTCCTAAGATCAAGATAATTTTTGTGTTTTACGTTATTCATTGATTAAATACTCAGTTTCTAATCTTCTGCACAATTTTTAATAAACTGAAGAAGAATACACAACAAAGCATCACGAATTGAAAGTGCAGCAATGACAATCGAAATAATAAGTTTCCTTGTTGAAAGAATCGATGAATTTTATAAAGCTTAAAAAGGAACCTAAAGTGCATTATATCTTACGAAAGCATCTTATCAATTTAGTTAGCATTATTGCACATAGAATCGAAAAAACAGCGATGACATCACAGAAATCTTTAAGTGATTCGTTGATCTTGAAAAACGATCATTTTTCATTATGAACGAATACAACAGTATGTGACTATGCTACGTGTCTTTGACGATCATGCTATATATGTAAAACATAATTTTCAAACTTTTCCAGCATCAACAACCAAATTATCAAATTTTCATACTGTTTACATTACGAAATATTTTAACTGTCTTCAATATATGATGCCATAATAAATTCATTTTACCCAGTTTAGAAAATTATAAGGTAAAAAGTTACAACCTATCACACAATTAGGAAATGTGTTTTTATATGACAAAGAATAATAATAGTCTATTATCATGATATGAAATCTGTTTAAATTCCAATGTTCAAATAACTTTACTCTTTCATCGTATTTGGCTAATCGATACAAAACTTTTTTAATCGCTATATTTACTCTTACTTTAATAGAAATGCTCATATCTATGCATGGTATTTCTAATAATTCCATTTTACGTTCCATGTGATTTAGAATATATGTAATCTACTATTCGTGCTGGAAAAATATGCAGAACGGTGTCGATTTTGCTTTAAAAGTTTGAATAGCCACAACTAAACCATCGTGGCACGTAAATGTATCATTAAATACTTTCAACGTATGAAGTCGACTCATTCCAAAAGAATGAAATCTTATCGTTTATATGTAATTTTACACGGTAAACGCATTACTGATCGTCATAGAATCTGTTCCAAGTACCACGCGAAGGTGGAGTCAATTCAAAGTAAAAATTTAACGAAACAAGGTAAAAACGATAAAGATAATTACAGTGCATATGAGAAATTTAACTACTTATGCTATTCCTGCAGTTTATGCAATTTTATATTTTTCTACGCCACTCATTCTATCATCCTCTCCCGCTCTCCTCAATCGCAAATATTTATCGCCTATTAAGACAGTGTTGTCACCAATGAAATACCTATAGTGCAGTCAACAAAAAAATCGATTTGTCAGACTTCCTAATTTGCAGAGTTCAATGGAAACTTACCCTTTTTGATGTTGTTTTTACGAACTACTTACAAAGAAACCTTTACGCTTTAATGAATTTTTGTTTTCTGGAAGCTAGGTTCTGGAAATGTTGATGACCGTTGAAACTTTAAAAACTTAAAAGTCTTCTTTACTTAGCAAAAGTGATTCATTTGTTGACTCTATTACTGGTAATGTTGTCTCCCCGGGCACACTATACTACCATAGGTCTTCATAACACGTGTATGTACACTTATCGCGGCATCTATTCGAAACAGACTGTTAATCCCTTGCCCTATGATTTGTTTCTTAACTTTGATCAATACAACCACTTTGTCGTTAATAATTATATTTAAAAAAGACAAAGATTGTAAGCATATTCTGTTTATGTTTGCTTTTAAGTATAATGGTTGAAAAATAATATTTACTTTCGATTCAAATGAATCGAATAATATTTATATTTACTAAACCATGTTAAAATTCTTCACCACGAGTCTGACGCGTTGTTATAAGGCAAGGGGTTAATTTATAGAATTGATATTGAGTGCAGTTTATGTTGGTATGTTTACTATAACGGTGTATAGCAACAAAAAATAGGATATAAGAATCTGCATAAAATTCTCAGCTTATTCTAGATAATACTGTATTAATAATCTATTTTTTTCTGCTACAATCATCTTTTCTTCATTCCTTTTCCACGACACATTCTCACTATTTTGCAGTCATTCGATAATTTACGAACCATCTTACAATTATAATATGTATAAGCGACGAAAATCAAACTCGTTAACGGATTTAGAAGAAAATGACATTCTTTTAATGGAGGAAAACTTACAGCAAATTCTTCATGTCCGAGAAACTTTCATAATTTCTTTATCATATAAAAATTAATAATACCATCGTTGTTTATGATATGCTTTCTACAAAACAGATTCCTTGTCTATACGACTATGTGCTTTTGATAACGATCATAAAGCTGTAAGGACTATCCCTAGCAATCGTTCTTTTGTTTCAATGGATTGGAAATCTAAAAATCGTTCATCGAGGCACTAATTTTCTAAGCAGCTTAAGGTAATGAAACGTGATGAACTTTGTATTCCAAGCAAAACGACAATCATATTAATGGGAAACTAAATTATATCCTTAAAAACAAAACAACAACGCGACAAAAATGTTGAAATACGTATCAAACTATACGTACGAAGAATGTTATTACTGTTACAGCTTTATAAACGTTAGCAGAAGTACATGAAGAAGGTTTTTTTTTAAGCAAATGAAGTATAAATAGCAATAGTATTCTTCAATTTCAATGTAGCGCCGAAGAATTTTAGGAACCACGCATTTGAAATCTACCACGTACTTTAAAAAATTTAATTTTTGAATTAAATTTGAAATTAAAATGTTTCGCTATATCGAACGAATTTACAATTTTCATAAGATTCCGTTCTTTAATTATAAATTTAATTTTAGAGTTTCACAAAAGAAGTATAATTCGCAATGACACTTGTCGAACTCAGTTTGAACTCGGTTATTTTTTTAATGTGTATATTTAAAAGTCAACTAAAATGTAGAACTTCTTTTCAATCTGAATTTCAGTTTCTTTTAGAATCTGAATGAAGATCATGTATCTTTTAAGGTATAAGTAACGATCAATACTATCTTCTTTAAGAAAAAAATTAAATACAGAACTTGAATAATCGTAAAAGAATTAATAATTGGATCAATGCATTAAATCGGTTAAAATAGTCATATTGGGAATTATACCTGTTGCGATATGATGCTTCCAATTCAAAATGAAAGGCGAACATTTGTTTACTTTTCCGACTATAAGTACGATTATTATAATATTATTTACCGCAATGGACATTACCATAGTTTTAAAGTTTGCTAACACTTACTCATTAATGAATTCAATTTCTCAATCAATGACAACAGTTATATTTAACGCAATCTTTGAAGCCATAAAATTAAAAAATAATTGTACATATGTTTATTTATGATTTGATAATTTATTTATTTATTTCCTTTAATCTGTCCTTTATGGTTCTTACTTAAGAGAAACGTCAAAAAATGTATATGTACTTCCTGACCGTTATGTTTCATATATACAGTGTTTCAAAAATATATGTCACGACCAACCACCTTAGCTTAACTTTACCCTTCGATTTGATGTAAAAGAATGTAAAAAAGTGACCATAAAGTTCATTCTGACTTGAAAAAAGGTAGTTAAAATTTTGTATTGCTGCACCGTGCTCTACTCGTCACGGAGGTAAATAGTCCGAAAGCATGATGGGTCGGAAATTATTCGTTTGTTTGCAAATTGCTGTTAAAGATCCTATGAGAGGGTAAAGGACTACGATATTCAGTGTCCTTTTCTGTTACACGAGTATCGATTAGTTGGAGCAGCGAATGCAATGACTGCGTTGACAAAATGACAAAATATAACGCGATTTGACACAGGATGAAATCCAATGATGTCAAGTCCGGTGACTCATCGTGTAACAGAAAAAGACACTGGATGTCGCGATTCTTTACTTTCTCATGGGAGCAATTTGCAATGGCAATTTGCAAGCATAAGAATAACTTCTGTCCCATGATTATTTTCAGAATATATACCTACGTAATGAGTGGAACACGATACAACAATACAAAATTTTAACCCTTCTTTTTAAGGTCAAAATGAATTTTGCGGTTACTTCCTTAAATCTTTTACCATTAAACCGAAAGTGTAGAATCACGTTGTGATCGTGACATTTTATATACAATCATCCTGCACAACAAAACTTTAAAGAACTCGATATTAACACGTTGAATGCCACTCAATTAAACGATGATTATTTGTAAACATTTCTATATTTTTTCCATTTTATGTATTTTGCTGTATGAAATCGTGCTGTATTCAACGTGTTAACTGTAATCGCAATCGCATTCTTTTCGCATTCTATCCCGTGAATATCTCTGATTTCTTGTTTTATGCAGTAATTCTTTCAAAACGATGCTGTAATAATTTAACTAACTGAGAAACATTATATTGTTTGTAAGCCGCCGTTCAAAGGTGTGATTAATTAGAGAGTTCACGATTAATTAAAAAGAATAATATTATTTTATAAGGATATAATAGAATTTATAGAACCAATAGCTAAATGAATTGTTTGCGTTTATTTTGCTATATGGAATTTACGAAATTTCGCATAATAATTTAATGTAGTGTAATAATTTCATAAAACAAATTTATTATTATTGTTATATTCTAACGTCTTATTTCAATGAAAACTATATAAAACAATTTTTATTGTTATCTTACAATAGTATTGACTATGTATTGACTTTGTACAAATAATTTAATTAAAATATCGGTTCACATAAAAACAATAATATGAACAAGATCATTGTTATAATCAAAATTTAAATGAACATTTTAAGCTTTTTGCATCAGCTTTATGGAAAGTTAAATTTTATATACATAATATTGTTTCACACTTTTATATCTTATTTGAATGTATTAACAATACTGTTCACCGAACAGAGTCTCATTTGTCGCACAAAGTATATAGCTCAAGATTAAGCCAGCAAAATTAAATCAATACTACGATTCTATATCGATCATGAATAAATCGAAAATAAATATTAAATGATGAACTAGAAATAACGGAATATGTCTGTCTAATAACCTATTTGTCTTAGAAGGCAGTTGTTAGTGTTGTTTGTAACTCACATCTACAAATTTCTGTGGATTATCTGCATATAGATATATCATTTTCATATTGCTATTATATTGCTAATTTTAAACTATGGGGATAAAAACATTCCATCAAATATACCTGCTAAGGAACAAGACCAATCTTTGTCGAATATTAAATCATACAGAAAGAAAGAGACATAAGAAAAGAAAATTCAAACGAGGTTTACAACCGTACTTACGATTCTTCCTCTAAAAGAAGTTTCTAATAAGTTAAATTAAATCACGATATTGAAACTCATAAATAGAACGTAAAGTTTGAAAACTTGTAGAATGCTGTTAAATAAGTATATTATACTTACGTGTAAAACAATGACAAAATGGTGACTTCAATTATTCTTATTATCAAACTCTTCTTAAATATTTGTATTATATTACCTATACATTTAATTAATTATTCATCTAATGTAATTTACATCGTAGTGTTGTTGACATGTGAAAGATTCGTTATACATAAATATTTTGAATCAGTGGACCTGTTATAGTAAATGTAATTCGGAAAAGTATAGCAAATTCATTGTTAGAAATAAAATTTCCGTTTCATTTTCTATGATACTAATCGTAAAAAAAAATTGAAGTTTTTTTTACCATAAACCAATTTTAAACTCGATCATTGTTCGATATTGGTTTAGTTATTATTATACTTAAACCAAAAAAATAATTATTTAATTGAGTTTTATGAAAATATGTCTATTTTTGCCGCATAACATCGCACTGAACATTCTTTGAAAAAATTCTTCCAAATTCATATTATCAATATGATAGCGCTTAAGACTTATAATAAAAATCTGTTGAATATTTTAATTTCCTTTATATTATTAAGTAATAATAATTGTTTCACTTATTATTGTGTCTGCTCTACCACACCACTAAAATTATTTTATGACTGTTAACGTGTTATTAATAATAATATCAATATTATTATTATTATTAATAACAATAATATTATTATTACTACTACTACCACTACTACTACTACTACTACTACTACTACTACTACTACTACTACTACTACCACTACTACTACTACTACTACTACTATTATTATTATTATTATTATTATTATTATTATTATTATTATTATTATTATTATTATTCAGAAATATGTATTGACTCTAGTTATATAAAAATTCGAAGATGTATTTAAATAATTTCTACTAGAATAACAAAGATTATTGTTCATCCAGAAAATAATGACATATTATAGAGTGGTATGCCAGACAAAGTGCGGTCTGTATAATATAATGATTCGACAATATTATCTAGAAATGAATTTGTTGCAATGTTAAAACCGTAAAAGATCACACGACAAATTCCAACATTTTCGATCCTCTGTGGCTGTTTTCATATCTTTTACCGTTATCAACAAAGTCTTGTCAGTTCGGATGTTCTGAAATAGAAACGCAATAATTACATAATCGTTATTTTGCCTTCTTGTTTAACTTTTAGCTACAAAACGTAAGAAAAGGTGAATGATTTAATGTCAATAAAAGAATCAATTAATTATCTATACCTACGTATATAGAGCAACATTTAAAGAACCGTTCAATGAAATTGAACGCGAATTATGCTTCTAATTCTTGTAATGTACTATCGAATAAAGAGAAATTTATTAGAAGTTCCGATGAAGGATCTGAGAACTAGCAGACTGTGTAGTTTACGGCCTCGTTATCTCGTCGATTGAAAAATTCCGTGTAATTAACCAGAAAATTTCCGAAAACTCTCCCTCACATAAATAGCACATTTACGCACGTGTTAGTGTAAAGCATTTTGTACTTTCTGCGGCGTTAACTTTATTTGCGAGATGCGTAATTAAAATTTATATATACATATGTATGCACTATCCCCATCAAATACTGTACGATGAATAAGAAGAGGTGAGAAGTGTATGTTTATTAACCTATTACTATTTCTATTTTATTTCTTCTAATACTATTAAGATATGTGCGTAATTTAAGTAACGCGCGTCACGATATTACTTGATTATCATAATATAAAAATGGCAAATATTGAAAGTATAAGGTATATAATCTCCACAACATCAATAGCTTCTACCTGATGCTCATTGCCTTTGAATCTAGCAATTATTTGAGATAACGTTTTACACCCTAAACATACTGTATTTTCTGCAACTTATCGTTTTTCAGTGAAATTTACTTATCATTTTTATTTAATGCAATAGAGCATATTTTCATTTATAATTACGTCTTGTACATAAACAAATCTAATGAAACAAAATTTTCACGAAAGAGTAATCACTCTATCTACCATTAACTTCGATATATACATTATAATTTTGTGATTAAATGTCACTAAATTAATTACTTTTCTTAGTATGAATATCTGTGGAAAGAAAATTAAAATATCATTAAATGTTATACAAATTTAAAACAATCATACGCTTCATAAATAATTTTGAACGTTAAATCAAGTTACTTGTGTTTCTGAAATAATTATGGCAACCAAATTTGTTAAATATTTAATATTCATTATCAGTTTGATAAACATCTTAGAAGTATCAAATTTGTATTGGACTATACAAAGCAAAACGGAAGATGAATAAATACTATGATGTACCATATACAGTCAAGGATAATATTTCAATACAAGTTTATACTGTTGCAGAAGTTATGTACCTACAAATACGGTTAGCGTTTATTCTAAGCTTAAAAGGTTTTGTCACATAAGTTGCAAACCTAATCAATTATCTGATTTGAAGGACTTAACTACTTAAATAATTATACCATTTCAAACTATGGTATACTAATAAAATATTTTAATATAAATTACGATCACTACGTTTGCAACTTATCATTGCAAAGAACTTTAATTGAACGAAAAATTGCAATTTAATTTCGACATGAACGTAAGCGAACGAATGTTGTGTTAATTTAAGAGTCAGTTCACAATTAACACGTATTCGCGCACATTCAATTACCAATGGCTGTCATCTACGCTTAGTCTTTGGACGATGTATGAGAACATTGAATATTCAAGTTGTAGTACTGAATATAATATTCAATATTAACCCTTTGAGTTCCAAGGAGCGATATATCGCTTCTTCATGCACTTATGAAAAGATTCTTTTTGATTTGATCGTTAATAAAAGAAGTCTAACATGTCTTAGTATTGTGTAAAAATGTTATAAAGTTTAGATGAAAATTGACCGAAATATAAATTTTTATTTATAATCATGCATCTTTGTTTAACATTGTCTGGCATTTCTCGAATATGTGTAAAAATTTCCCCTGACACTCAAAGAGTTAAATGAGGTAGTTGAAGTCCAAGGATTAATCGTTAAAATATTGTTGAATCGATTTTTTTGTCGTGAAACCCGTATTTTAAGAAAGGTCAGTACAAACAGCTAATTAAAGACCTGCGCCGCAATAAACCCGGAAATCTTTGCTAAATAATAACAGTGCGATTTGGAGAGTCATTCGTCTGATTGATTGGTATTAGTTCGGAAATAATTTAATATTTCGTGACGTGCGTACGTAAAAACATGCATATAGACATCGCGTGTCGCTCCTTTACACTGTTACACGATGAGCACTGAAAACATACATAGAAGTGAACGTAACGCTGCAGGACGGGCATAAAATTAAATGCAAATAATAGGTATGCGTATATAATATACTATAATATACTATAATCGCGTAGCCTATCGGTCACACTAATTTCGTAACGTACTGTCAAACGTAATGGATCACGCGGTCATATGTTTTTGTCCGTTTATAATCGGTACACGTACACGTACATACAATAGTATATAGTTGCTATTGCCTGATTTTGTTCGGTAATCATTGAGTTCAAACACTTAAAATTAGATTTACAGCTTCCATAAAACGCAAGGTTTTGTTTAGAATAAACTGAATGAATTAAAACATTTTACATTTCCCGGTTCTTTAAATAACTTTGAAAGTACGGTATGGAATTTCTACTCCTAAAGAAATGTATTTTGAAATTCATGAACCTGCAGGACAATTTTATGATATTTTTCTTTAGACAGTCCGACAAAATCCGGATTTCTATTCGTAAGCGCGTACGCCGTACTATAAAAACAGTATATATAC